CGGCCCCGAGCTCCTCCACATTGAGCTCAATACCTCGGCAGACAATGGTGCGCAGCGTCTCGTCCGTCACGTCGCCATCGGCTCGGATGTCGACGTCGACTCCAGCCTGCCCCTCGGCCACGCTCGCTGTTCGTGCCATGCTCATGCGCTGGCTCAAGAAATGCACCAATCGCCCGGGCTGCATATACGGCCTCAACTCGTTGGCCACTGACCACGACTCATTCTTGCCACGGCGAAGCAGGAACAATTTGAAAACGTACAGCAGTCCAGCGGGCGTCGTGGTCCACTGCCTGATGTCTTGCAGGATGCCGCTTCCTTTGGACACGGCCGTGCACAATAGGAAGACGTTGACAAAGTGCACCTTGTCGTTGTCAAATAGGCTCAGCTCCACCTCCACCAGGGCCAGCCACAGGGACGTGAGGGGCTCGACCAGCTCTTTCTTGGTCATTTCAGCGTTCAGGCCCGCCCTCAGAGCCACGGTGGCATCAATTACCGCAGGGCCGCGGCTGGCAAGCACCTGGCCCAGAAAGCTAGACGGATCGGGGGCTGGCATGGCCTCCAGCAGCAGCAAAAATTGGACCAGGCGTGTCCCAAGACTCAGGTACCTGCTGACGGTTTGCGGCTGTACTTGCCGCATGGGGCGATGCCGATACTGCCCTTCATTGTCGTCAAACAGACGCGTCACCGCAGCGGCGGCCAGGCCCTGATCCGAGAGCTGCTCGTAGGCCGTCCAGAATAGCTCATGCATGCCCGACTCGAGGAGTGCCGACGGTGTGTTGTGGCCCAGTTCGACCATACGCTCTGGCTTCAGCTCGTTGATGACCAGCGTCATGCCCACGCTGTCGTAGAACGGATGCATCTGGTGAACGCCGTGCGGGCAGCGCTTCTCCTCGGCCTCTGAGGCCATGGCCTGGGCGCTTGAGATAAACTGCTTGAACCGCTGCTGCTCCTCGAGCTCCTCCTCGTTTTCGCTCACATCGGCTGCCGAGGCGTCGTGGCTTTCCTCCACAATGACCTCGACACAGCGGGCTCCAGCACCGCGCAGCGGCTTTTGCAGCTTGACTCGTCGAGGCGGCTGCTTGGCCTCTGGTTCGTCGGGATGCTCAGCTACGATGTGATTCCACAG